CTAGACGCGACGCGATGCGATGCGATGCGTTGCGTTGCTGTAAGGTGTGATGCGATGTGGGATGCGTTGCTATAAGGTATGATGTGATGATATAAGGTGCGATGTGATATGATATGATGCGATGCGATGTGATGCGTTGCTATAAGGTGTGATGCGATGTGTTGCGATAATGTGTGATGCGATGCGATGTGTTGCTATAAGGTGTGATGCGATGCGTTGCTATAAGGTGTGATGCGATGCGATGCGATGCGATGCGATGCGCTGTGAAGTGATGCAACGTGTTACGCACGTCCGCAGAGCTGGCGTGCTCTGGGAGCGCAGCAAACCGCATCCGCCGGCAGTCGCTGCCATGAATCATCGGAGTGCGCGCGCGCAGCCACGACGCTTCTCACGCCTCCACCCCCCCTTCACCCCATTCACCACCTCCACCAGCGCCGGTCGACGACTGCTGGGTCTTCTCGAATCCTCCTCAGACATGCTCCGATTCTTCTTTCAACGCCGTTCAAACACTGATTGGCGGCGACGGGCGCTCACAACGGGCAGAAAATGGAGCGGTACGGGAACTGTCACTACAATGGTTCCAAATGATTCGTTCCGAGTTAACGTTTAGGGACTAGACGTAGATGGGGAGGGTGGTATTAATGCTTCTGGAAACGATGATTCGATCTTAAGCCTCAGGATTTACCACCTAGGTTGCATGTATTCTTCTTGGAACTTGAAATTTGAAAAGATGAATGGAAAAGGAAGAGCTTGTAACGCAGTAACTTGCTATACATTTTGTAGCTCATTACGGTAGAGGGTGATGCACGTTTCTAACTAACTAAATCTGGAAAAACTAAATCACTCGTTTCTTTTCGTTGACATCGATAATAAAATTAATTATTGCTCAATCTTGTTGTGGAGCCGCTGCCGTCCTTGCAATGAAGGCAGATGTTTTCTTTTCTTGCTGAGGCACTATTTCAATCAGTGGTATCTCTGAAGTTCCAACCTGAAAAAAATCTTCATTCGTTCAAGAGCTCGATACTTGTAGTTAGGTAGTTGCACGCCCTTGGGTTATATTTAGCTCGTTTGTCTGCAATCATTGCAGACCATGAGCTCGAAAAGTAAGTCACTCTGATCGCAGTATGAATGTATTTTCCCGTGAGTGGGGCCATTAAAATGATTCATCGACCTTCAAAGTTTATATCAGGATTTATAAACTCCTGGTTGTTCCTCTTCCATACATCATAGTAGTTTGTTGTGAAATACCCATTTCGTTTTACCAAGAATTACTTTTGACCGGCCTGAGTACTTCAATGGCAGTTATGAATGACTTCAGTTACTACGAACCCATAAGGACATAAATTATTTAATAAATCCCGATTTAATAACGTATTAATATTAATTTTTCTCCTAAGAGAAAATATTTTTTTCTGACAGAAGTTCTTCCCGCGGACCTTCTAAGTGTTTCCAATACATTTACTTGAAACTTCATCCGTTTATTTTATGGTAAGACTTTTTGAATCCAGTTCGTAAAATAACTTGAACAATTGAATAAAAAAAAGGTATTTTGCCTCGTTGATAACTGAAAAATAAGTAATATTCGAAAACTAATCTTCACTATTTTTCTTCTATGGTATACTCCTTGTTATAATAATTACGTGTCTCAGAGGTTAAGGACTTTTTGGCACATTCACGTACATTTAGAGGAGAGCGGTTTTAAAATGTTTTTGACTTCTGATTTTATGCAGGCATGTTTTAACAACTGTTATTTTCATTAAGGACGTTTGGACATATTCTCAGGTAAGAGAAAATAAATGGGAACTAATGTTTTAACCTTTCATTTTAGATAAAAATGGAAAGTCATTTACGTAGTTAATCCTTTCTCTGAGAATGTGATTGCGATTCTTTGGGGACAGACTCGCCTCGCCTCTTCTCGTCTCCACCAACGATGGTGAAAACAATTGTTCATTTACCTGGCATAACCGTAATGTTTACAAGTTCATTAACGTACATCATTAGAACCAGTGTATACGTCATGTTAGATTTCAACTGTTGTGTGCAAAACATAGTAAAGAATGACTGCAACAAAATTCGGCATAGTAGGGCTTATAAAAAAATAAAACGAAACGAATTTTCGATTTCACTTCAATAATTGCTGTGTTTATAAAAATAGAAAAACATACACAACAAATAATTTCGTTTCAAAAAGTTGCTTAATCAAAGATATTTTTTATAATATCCCTTAATTTTGTCCGGTAGTTCATTACAAATCATTTTTCTTTTGAGCATATTGGTGGAAATAATAAATCTCGTTTAATCCTCCTGTTTGCGGGGGTGTCTCGTACCTCGTCGCACGGGTCTGTCGTTGGCGCGGAGGCCGGGCCGTCGACAGTCGCGGTCCAGCGCGCGCTGAGTCACAGCATCGCGTCGCGTCGCGTCGCGTCGGGCACGGCGCGTGGCGGCCCGCTCGCGCCAAATAGACGCTTCCTGCGACCACCGCTCCGCCAGATGAGCGGCTTTCGAGCCTCCGCGAGCCTCGCTTGGGCGCGGGATGTGCAGTTCAAGAGCAGGCTCTACCACGAGGCCATGAGAGGGATGGCCACAACTAACACCTTCAATACGGTTACGGGCTGTCATTACTCGGGCGATCCACACCTTCACTTGCCCGCATTACTGATTTCGGCACTTTGCCCGACTGGAACCGGAGAGGGGGAATGGAACCATGCGTGGTATCAGGCCGTACCATACATAACTCTGTGAAATACATTAGGATGATTTTCAAGTTTTAAGAAAAAATATTTCTTACATCTAAACTTCATTTATTTTTACATTAAAAGGGGCGTTGAGCCCGGCAGGGCGCGTGCACTAAGCCCACAATGTTCTCTCTGTTCGCATGGATGAAATGACCCGCGGGCCTTAGGTAGACAACCCTGATGGAGGAGGAGACAGAGACTTATTGGAGAAGGCTCTAGCAAACGTTCTTGCTTAAGGAGAATGCCGTATTCAATTAATCTAAAGTGATCAGGCAGAATAGAATTTGGCATGTTATGTAATTTTGATGTCACTTTTTTCCAATGAAGGTAAGGTGTATTATTGGAATTGAGCTATTGCGGTGGGGATGCATTAACATTAGCACGTATTGTTGAATTGCTGTAAGAGTTGCGCGTGCGCTCTCTCTCTCTCTCTCTCTCTCTCTCTCTCTCTCTCTCTCTCTCTCCCTCTCTCCCTCTCTCTCTCTCCCTCTCTCTCTCTCCCTCTCTCTTTCTCTGTCTTTCTCTCTCTTTCTTTCTCTCTCTCCCTTTCTTTCTCTATCTCTCTTTCTTTCTTTCTCTCTTTCTCTCTCTTTCTTTCTCTCTCTTTCTCTCTTTTTCTCTTCCTCCCTCTCTCTCTCCCCCTCTGTGTAAAGCATGGGTACGCCAGTCCATGGTTCAGAATTACTTGTTCATGGCAATAATCGTTTCAGACAACTTTTTAGTTGTATCATTGTTTCAGCAATTGAAAGGTACTGTTAAGGAGAAGCAATGCCATTGAAAGTGCGACGAAAGTCGAGGAAGAGACTCTTCATTTCAGTTTTTAAATTTATTGGTAACTTTGAACCATATCCATGTTCACATCACACGACTTTTTTGTCCTTGCCTTTTTAACTGTATGCTTTTTTAGGAGATTGGTCACACTCTCCGATGCAAAGAACGAACGCAAAATCGTAACCAGTTTATACCCAGTAGTCGACATTGACGTTTCTTTACTGCACTCAACAGAACGTCTGGTTGAGGTTTTGATCGCTAGATTGAAAGATACTAGTTATAACTGCGTAGCTAAGTCAGGACCATTTATCACTTAAGAGAATTGGGCTTCCGAGAATCAGAGCTGCTCTGACGCATCGTTGCTGACCCTTAAGTGTCCTTTTGTATCTCAGATGGCTTTTACACTTGTATAACCCTGGTGGACATTAGTTTTCTTAGAATTTAAAAATTCAAATTGTAATAAACGTTCCCTCTTTCTTCGTGCTTTAATGGGAAATCTGAACAGCCATTATTTTGGAATTGGATGTTCAGAATTTTATTTTTCTTGGAATTCTACTAAATTTCATCGATTTTACTGACAAAATGCACACGAGAATTCTCAATAATATATTTACCCTTGCAATAAATATGAAATCTGTTCAACGAATTCTTTTGTAATGAAAATCTCCCTACAACGTGGACATATTTTGAATTTTGTTGGCAGGCCTTACATCCCAAGCATTGATATACTCTATTTATAAAGCGAAAACTCTTTCTTAACGAAGATTCCGATACCTCTAGTTTCGCCGCACCGTCGAATATTCGTGATTCAGGGTAATGAAAGGTAAGCGGGCCGCGGAAAATAGGAAATCGGGGTAAGAGAAGTATTTTTGGAAAGTTGTTTTTTATGGGTTGATTATTAAATGTATACTATATTTATTGTAATTTACATGTTAAATAATCCACCTAAATTGAGAATCATTGTACACTTTTATTAACTAAATCAATAATTTATTTGTGGTTTTATTTAGTATTTAAGTTGTATTTCTGTAATATCCCGTTATCAATTAAAAGTGTATTCTACAAATTAATTGACTAAAATTAATTATATCATCCCGAAGTGGCAGGTTATAGCCTAAATGACTAATATAGTGCATTGAATCATTTTGATTATGAAAGATCCCCAATAATTGGATTGCCAGATACTGGACGATACGAGACTTTTCTCTTTATGTTGAGTTCTGAAGTCGCCCTGTCGTGAAGTGGGTATTGGCGCCAGGACCCGGACGGGCTGCGCATGCGCGAGGTGCCGGGTCGCGGCCATCTGATGGGGGCGGGCGCCTTTACGGCCTGCCATAAACCTTGAGGTGGGGGGCGGGGGGCGTATCGATTCTCAAAGCGGACGCCGCGCCACGCGACGCACGTGCTCGCGTGCATGCGTGAGCGTTTGAGTGTGTGTGGAGAGGGAGAGAGAGGCCGACGTGACAAATGGAGTGGGGCAGACAGAACAGGGAGATGGTTGGAAGAAGAGATGGGAGGACTGGTGGAGAAGCCAGGCGAGGACAGGTTGGACTTGCAGATGGAACGGACAGTACACGTAAATGGGGACAGGCAGAACATGTAGATGGCACAGGCATGGTGAGTAGGTGGGTATGGAACGTAGGTTTATATTGGTGTGACAGAAATAGGCAGACATAACATTGGGATAGTAAAAGACAAAGCAGTTAGGGATGGTGACAGGACAGATGGAGAAGAGAGAGGGTCAGAGGGTCGCCGAATGGCAGGCACCTGCGTCGTGCGCGCGGGCAGTTAGTGCCCTTAAACGAGACGAGTGTGGTGTGGCGGGGGACGCGATGCGGGCGACGGCGACGGCGTCTGCGCTGCATACGGGCGCGCTCTTTATCTGCACGGACAATACTCTCCCCTCCCCCCGCTCCGCGCTCCCATTTTCTGCCATTGTCTCCACGCATGACTCAGTATTGGTGTTTGGGCTCCGAGGCCTTTAATTCGAGAATTGAACTCGAGGCGAGTCCAGTGAATGACGTAAGAAACGGGAACCGGAGTCCTTTTCTTTCCGTAAGGGATAAAAACGGATACAAAAGCGCTTATAACAATTAGCATGTTCGGCCGAAACTAAAGTAATTGTGTGTTGTATAATACATATTATATTAACATTTTTTTCAGTTTTTACTCAAGTGGTGTCGATTCGACCCCTAATATTCACCTTTATTTTCAACATACTTGATTGCAACAATAGCTTCACGGAGGGTCCGTATTCTTTTTGCATTGTATTTTTTTTATGTGAAGAAATGGGACATAATTCTATTATGTCGCGGTGAGTGTTGTGTGGAGGGGAGCTTCCAATGAAGCATGCATGAGAATACGTGCGTCAACGTTTTATAATTTTTTAACGAAGGTCTGAAGCAAAATGGCCCATCGCCATCGGTGAGATGTTGCTTCATATCCTTTTTGCGCGAGTTCTGTGGACGCTTCGCGCGGCTGTTGCAAGTCATTCCCGCCGCGACGCGCTGACGTAAGTCGCAAGCAGATATATCAAACGCCCATTGCGTAAAACGGGAGGGACGAGTGACATTACTGAATGGTCGTTGTCTCGCGGGTGGTCTAGCACTGTTCCACTCCTCGCCTCTCTCGTCAGGGTCTAATTTCTGAGCTGCTGTGATACGAGGCAGGTTGTTTCGGGATTTCTTCTTTCGTAGTTTGTTGTGGATGTGGCTGAGTGCCTTGGTCACTCGGGCGGTTACTGGTACCTGTACGTTAATGGTGGAACTTTCTTCGTAGAGTATTGATAAAGCGTGATGTTTGGATGTAATGAAAAGTGCTAGTTTCATGAAATTCGAGAACAGAGAACCTTCGCACGTTTTAAGTTAAGTTTTGGGGTTCACATTTGCAGACATTTTCGGTAAAGTAATAGTACCAATTTTTTTCTTAGATATCAAACATTCAGCAACTATTACCACCAGATACTCTTGTTTGGTATGTATATAAACCTAGTCCTGCTGTTTTCGTTAGCACATTCCAGTGGTAATTTTTCTGCAGGAGGAGGAAGAAGAAAACGTGCTTTTTAACTTGCTCTATATATCTTTCTTCTCCTAGTCGGCTAGTGGAAAAGTGCTCATTTTTGGCATCACTAGTGTTAAAAAGGCTCACCGTCGCAAAGTAACAGGTGTCTCTTTTTTGACTTGAAAGTAGCCTCGATTTCGTTTTGGAAGAGTTTGGGGAAATCGTTGTACTTGATTAAGTAGTTGGTCACCCCTGTTTGTGTACGTTGCCTCGATCGTGACAGAGAGACCATTAACCCGGAGAAGGTGATTGCCAAGGCCACTGTACAGGTATTTGGCCATGTACCTCCTGCACTGTTCCCAATGAGTATGCGGTCATGCACACGTGTTTAGTAGGAACTTGGCAACATATTTGGCATTTTGAAATTATGTTGCGAATTGTTGCGTGAAAGAGCCTCAACAATTTCTAGAGTAAATTGTTGCTTCGTTCTCTGTAAGAATGCTCGGCATTTCTTCGTGAGGAGGACGCATTAATGTTGCAGAAGACCAAATAATTATCAAATCCTTGGAGAGCTTTCAGCACAATTAAGCCAGATACTATTATTTACATTTAAATTTATAAATACGTTCAGAAATTTAAGTAAGGTTGTTAGCTGAACATCTGTATTAACACACATGATAAAGAAAAGTACAAGAGTGTGATGTAGTATTTAAATGAAAATTATCTGGAACATTCCAGTTTTTAAATATGGAATCTTTACTTTTCCCGTGTACATGATAAAATGGCGTCTCGAAGCAGAATACGAAGGAATGAAGCGATTGCGCCCCGCCCCCCGAACATTTCAGAAGTGAAGAATCAAAATTACACTCTGAATTAGTTTGAGCACCATTTACATATAAAGTGTTTACAAGATGCAATATTTAAACGTTGATGTAACATACTATATTCATATTGTTGCTACTAAAATAAGTAATAGCAGTGTAAAAGTAAATGTAAATTTATTTTAGTTGCTTGTTTTCAAATGGTGTTTAAGTTGAATTGAAGTCTTACAACAATTGAAAGTAATGTAAGAGGCTTATTAAATAGTCATTAAATTTATATTCCGCCGACCTGGATGGCCGAGTTGGCTACGAGCATGTACCGACTCAGCCCTTCGGCCCGATGAGTTACGGGTGCGAGTCCAGCCTTGGGAATGGTTGTTTGTCTCTCATGTACGTGTTGTCGCGCAGGGCCTCGCGTTCTTCTGACCAGAGATCAGAGCAACTTCCAAGTGTGTTGGTTTTTAGAGTATGGTCGGATATGCGTCCCATCGGGACTTTGAGGCTCACCGACTATCGACTGGGAAACGCCATACGAAAAAAACCATTACGAAAAAGAAAAGGAGTACTTCTTGTGTTAAATGCCCCTGTCTTCTCCGAAGTTGCTGCAAGCGCCGTTGCCGCGGCCACGGCCCCCACCTTTTGCCCGCCGGCGCGCGCTTCGCTCCGGCAGGCGCGTCCGGCGGCGCAGCGCGGTAGCCGAACTCGGCGGCCCCATTCTCTTCCTGGCGACGCGCGGTCGGCGGCGAAGGACGCGCGCTGGCTCGCGGGGTAGGCGCTGGCGCGCGCGCATTCCGCGGGTGACGTGGCGTAACGGGCCCCGCCGCCGCCGCCGCTCCTCCTGGCGCGCGGGCGCGGGCGGCTTGGCGCGCGGCGGGCGGGGGCTGGCACGCGCGCCGACGGGGGTTGCGAGACTTATTTTGCGGCCACCAACGCTGCAGTACGATTTACTTAGTCGTGCACTAGACGTAAATCAGCTGTTGCGGTTCTATGCAATCGGAAGCTTAAATGCAGCTACAGTGTGGAATCTGCAGTGGCGAGACTATTAATATTGATGTTACATCTCAATAACACAGTTTTTTAATATTTTATATCTTGGAGTTTGCGCTTTTGGCTTTTTATATAGTACCCTTTGATTAACATTGTACGAGTATATGGGGTCATCATCTTTCATCTTTGTCTAACAAATATTTATCTGGATTCTGGTGATGTAAGAATACATCTGGAGTTGTATCCAATTTAAGGGGTGGTAAAGGCATTGGTCAACGCCACCTGAACATTTGCACTTGTACTTCGACTTAAACGTAGTGTCTGTTGACGTAAAACAGCTGTTATGGTGTCATCCAATGGGGAGCTTGGATGTCACTTACCGTAGTGATGTTTAAGCTCCCGATTGGATGACAGCGTAACATCTGACGATCTGTCAAAAGACACTTAATCAGTGGAAGTGTAAGTCTTTGTAAGGCAAATATCGATGCGTCGAAGTCTGACGAGACGACGTTGCTGCTTCCGCTAAGCCCAACGGAGACCTCCGTTCGCCCTGCGCGGCCCCCTGGGGCGATAAGAGCCCGGTCGCCCTCGCCCGCCCTCGCCCCGTCAAAGGGCACCCTTCCAGCGGCTGCCTTCTCCGCCTGCTTCCTGCTCTGAGTGAGTTTCTGGTCGCGGCCCCCGTCTCTGTCTGTCTCTGGCCCGGGGAGTTAGAAGTTGGCGAACCTTCCTCTCCCGCGCTTCGAATAGACGACGAGCATAGAGCGCGACGATCGCTGACGTAGTGCTGTCTACTGCCGTTGAACTTGCGTCGAGTAATCACATTGTCTCGCGTCGTGGCGGCTTCACTCAAGCTGGGGATGAAAATAATACGTATGGCCGGATGCTAATGTAACTTTTTGCTTGTAATTGTACTCAATTTCTTCAAAACAACCGTATTAATGCATCACATTTCTAAATAGTATTCCTATTATGAATTTATTTTTATTAAAATTTAAAGCTAGCAATTCTTTTTAATTATTACTTCAATAATATAGATGAAGGCGAACTGAAATGGCACCCTCCCGTGAAATACTTTCCTGTTTTCTTTTCTTCTGAGTTTACATCTCCGAAATACTTAATTCTGAATATGTGCTTGTGGGGTGCTGGAATTTCAAAGTTTTCTTGCGATTTGGAAACGAAAATTACCTATTTACTCAAAACTGAGACGCGAGTGCCAGTTGGAAAACCTCTTAGGTGGCGCCGCGTGCGGGTCGTACTTTCGGCGAACATAAACGATCAAATGCGCCCTGAAGAATATCTCCGCGTGACGGCCGCGCGGTCTACGACGCTGCATCTCTGGCACCGACGGCTTCAAATGATTTAAATGAGGCTTAGAAGCATTTTCAAGTCCGTTATTCCCCTCAGCAGCGGTAGCGATAGTAATGTAAACACCTGCCGCAAGGCGACGCAACAGCGCAGCTGTCGCGCGGCACCACTTGTCGCCTTGTCAACGCGCCTTCAATGCTTTCTTTCGTCGGCCCTCTGCTTATTCCGCAGGCTCCTCCGCTTATTCCTTCGTGGCTCATTCCTTCTTTGCTGTCTGTTGCCAGAAGGCATCCGTGTTCTTTACTCTAGTGGCTTCTTATCTTGCTGCTCTCTCCGACGCAGACGTGGCTGCGACGCCGCGGACGCAACCGCTTGTACGTTCGCAGTGAGCGTTTCGTGCAACCTACATCGGTGCGGGTCCCTATCAAGAGTTCATATGTAGACCCTACAGATTTGTCTCTTCATCTTTTGGGTATTCACTTGTGTGTGTGTCAGGAAGTTAATGGAATGTGAGAAGTTCTTTTTTACTGCATATACTGAGTGCACCATTTTGCGTGTTATTTTCATGTTCGTGTAATGATAGGGCGATGAAATGCCTGTTGAATATTTAATTGACTTTCATTAGAGGTGCGTACTATAGATGTGGGCACGAGGAAATGATTAGTCATTGATATTTTACTTTGAACTTATCAGGAAAGTGATATAAATACGTTAATAGCAACCTGATTATATGTATACAGTGTTTTCGTCCTTCATTTAACTAGTTGTAAAATGACGAAGACATAGTCTAAGATTATAATGGTCGATATGAAATGACGTACTTCTCATTGTATGGATAGTAATCTGATTGTCTAAGGCTTACCTTGTTCGACTACTATTATAGTGTGCTCATGTAATGACAGTAGGTCTCAGAACGTAACAGACATTCCGAATGATGGAGTATGTATTATCCGCTCTGCTTGGCAAGATGAGCCTTTGCATGTATCCGTGTGTGGGTGTGTGTTCTGTCTGGTTCATTGGTGGTAGTTGTGTATAGACGCTTATCGACCTTGTACACACAGTGAAGCTAGTGAGGGTTGGGGGTGCCTGGTTCCTGTGTAATTTATCGGAGACGGAGTACAGCAACCCGTCGAGAACGTGTTTGGAAACAAACTCAACTGAAATGCATGTGCATTTTGCGGTCTCTGAAGTCGTAAAGATTATTGCCGAAAATGTCGGTGTATTCTTAGCATTTAACTTTACTATTTTGGAGTGCTTTTTAAAGCCAGTGTTAGTGGGAGACTTCAAATACTGGTGATTAAAATTATTTCCTTTCTTTGTACAAACATTGTTGATGTTATGAATTCACTTCCTCGCGAATACGGAAACATTTTGCAAGCATTTCCTTCTTATAGACAATGTTAAAAACCAATCACGGTCCCTCTCATATTGTACACGTTTACGTAGAAAACAAATATGTTGATTACTTATATTTCAATAACATTTGTGTGTGTGTGTGTGTGTGTGTGTGTAATCATAAGATGTGTGTTAAATGATGGAAACTCCTTAAAGGAGCGAGACGTGATACAATAATGCACTGTTTCTCAATTCCTTCCTCACTAGTTCTTCGTTTAGTGCTACCTGCCTTTCTGACCACTTGCTCTCTTAGCGAGCCGTTCCTTCCCCACCCGCTGCTCGTTAACACTACCATCCCTCCCCACCACCCAGTCCCGCCGAGCGGGCCCCATCGCGACATTTATGTAATGGTGGCTTTTTTTCTCTCTTCCAGGTGAGTACGCACAGCGACGAGCTGCGAGCAGCGCGCGGGTGGCTGCCAAGGTAAACATTCCTGGCGACCCCGACCGCCGCTGCCGGCAGTGTACAGCTCCCGACCTCGCCACTAGCGGCGGCGCCTCCGCGCTGCTTCACGCCGCGCCCACCGATCATTATTCTTTGGGTGGAGTGGGAATGGAACGGGCAGCGAAAATTGTGACTGAAATACAAGTTTCTTTTACGAGCTCGTCTTAATTTTGCTTAACGCAGTAAATACTTCAAGAAATAAATACAAGTTGTTTCATTGTCAACTTTAGTTTTAGAAACGCATCGTGCACTTTAAAAAACATGAAACAGAATTTTGCACAAATAAAATTTAATTATACCCAAATGGGGTTCATGATATTAGGAATGTCAAAAAATACATCTGCTTTACATGTATTTGCAGATTGCAAAAACGGTTGAATGTTAAATGTTGAAAGTAAATACTTATATTTTAAATATATTTTCGTCGTTGTCTATTCCTATCCTTAATTCATTGTCACTGGAGGAAATTTTCACATCTGTACGGGAATGGTTTTCCTAATTATCGTCTATACCTCCTGAACTCTTTAAGTGCCCACAGAACTGAGAATATGGTAACAAAGTCATGTGGTCAAAACGTCTCTTGCAGGCGGACGTCTAGGAGGCCGACAACCACTAGACAGCAACTGGCGCTTGGCAAACCTCTGCGGACAGCGTGGACGATAGATCGTCCGACATCGCATGTGTACTTTCTCGTGCTGCGCGAGTTTCTTTCGCCCAGGCCGTCGTGTCTGTCCTCGCGCATTTTCACGAACCTAGTCCTCTTGAGGACAGTCAAGAGGGCGGTGACTGCCTGGAATCGTCGGACAGCTTGTATATGACGCTTAAGGGATCACCGATAGAAAAGTCCCGATACACAACTTTCCTGCACGTTTACAGTATAATAGTAATAAGGCATATCTGTGAAATAAGTAACTATACTGCGATTTTCGCAACTCTGCCCCTGGTAGGTATCAGCTGTTGAGAGTTTCATCCAATCGGGAGCTTGAACGTCACCATAGCCACTATGATTCAAAATTCCTATTAGGAGCGGTTAAAGCGGGGCTGTCTGCCGTCCTTTATTTTTTGCCAAAAACTTTTTTCCGGAAAATGGATCGTTGTGTTGTACATGACTGGTTGTAGGTTTTTGATCTCTTAATAAAGTAGTATGACAGGAACGTACACAAAAAGAAAATATTTGAATACGAAAACAGGTATAAAATTGAATTTAAGTCAATGTTGCTGATATTCGTACTGTATGAATCAGTTTTCATGGTTTCATCACGTTAATACTATCCTCTGGAATTCTGATACTGATAGTGGTTGAATACATCCTTGCTATTTAACTAGCGTCGAAAACCCGCCACGGTTGAGGCTTGAATCCTAGGACCTTCTGGTCAGGGTCGATGCAGCGGCAAGAATGGAATCACTGAAATTACTCCAGCTGAGTTTTCTCGAAACTGCGTTTTAATAGTCTTGCATTTTTTTTCCTCTTTCAAAATATTCCAAATTTGTTCACATTTTTAGAGTTTGTTGTATTAAGCAGTAAATGCATCTACATATTTTTGTCATTTCGTTTTAAAGGTTGTTTTTAACTTGTCGAGTAAATTTGCTCTGGTGAATTGCATTTTAAGTCATTTCTTTGTTCGGCGGTCTAATATAACTAATTGATTTCAACTGATAGCCGATCAAATGCATGCTGCTACTCTGTCAGATTCGGAAACTCCTTTGCTCAGATTGAGATGAGCGAAGTTGATTATCTACCATTTGCATATCGTGCTAACGTTAGGACTATTATCATTTGACTATTATTAGCCTAATTCGACGAAACGTGAATAATCTCGTAACGGAACCATTACCCATGCTAAATCAATATGGCTTTGCATTATACGAACATCTAATGAAGGCCATAGCTAAACTGGTAATACGGCTGTGCCAAAGGAAGTTCGTGACTGCAGTTCAGAACCTACAAACTTGCGAATTGGTCTTCTCCGAATGCAGTTTGAGTAAGTCCCCCAACGGATATTCCAGACGAACCTAGAAAACTAGAGGTCTGGTTAAACATAGGTTTGTTGTGTTAAATAAATAATGTATGCTTTGGAATATTGAATTATATATCCAGTTAACGCGAAACCCTTACCGGATCGATTGTAAAATAGATTTGTTATTTCGTTGAACTTATCTAACTAAAATTAAAAATGCGCGCAACTTTCTGAATTTCTGTATAAATAGGAACTAATTGTGTCCATTCATGAATGTTAATTCACCTTAATAAGAGGAAAGAGAAATAAACTATTTTCCTTGATGCAATCCAGCAGCTCCCTGCAAATAATAATATTTTTTTTAATTGCATGAATAAATTAACCTTCTGGGGACATCTGTTAGATAATTGAGGCTTTTGAAAGAGAAGGGTCAGAGTGAGATCTGTGTTCGATCAAACGAAAGATGGGAAGCGAATGGCCTTCTGATTCTTCTGAACTAAACTGGTCACACTCTATTCGGTTGTACCAGACATTCGTGATTGGAATGTGAATTTAAGCCAAATTCATGTTGGGCGGAAACTCTCACTAACGTTTTAGTTCATTTTATCCTTGTAATTCCCTGACATACTTTTCTCGTGATGTTCCTTTTGGGACAAACATCCGATATAAAGTATAAGTGTTCACGATTCTAAACTAAAGAAACAAGCTGCAATAAAAAGAATGAGTATCAAGAGGAAGTGGTGTTATGAGAATTTTGCGGTAGCCACACACTGTCGTCACAGTGGGAAGGACTTCCTATTATCGTATTCTTAGAACTGAAACGTACAAAACACTTTTAACACGTCAAACGCTACAAGTCACGTGGTTGCCTATGACGACGTTTCATTTTACCATACGTCATTCTAAAACTCCTTAACAGGTGATACTCTGCGGTGTACTTTCGATCGCGAATTCGACTGAACTCGTATCAAACCTGACCATGCAACGAAGTCATCTGATTGTATTGGAAACAACGTGAGACTGTCGCTCATCGTATTATTAATTCATAGTCGTTGATGGAGCCTTCTATTCGATTTTAATTACCTGGCGAGTTAGGATAGATGTCGCCAATATACAATCGGGGACTTCAATTTAAAGAAAAATAAAGCACCCGATTGAGTGACAACCTCTCAGCTATGAATATAACTGAACAGGACTCAGGAAATTTCTATCGATACCCCAATTTAAAGTCATTTCAAGGTCACGAGCTAAGAGAGGGGTACGGTGTCATGTAATCGAAAGCTTCAATTCCAAAAATTTTAAGTCTTGTCGAAGATTCCGCACTGACTGGCGGCGTTCCCAATCTCCTTACAGCTCGTGACCTTGAGGAGACACTACTTTTAAATCGTAGTATCGTATATACTCCGATTTAAACATAGAGTCCCGTCAAGATCACTAGTTGGGAGAAGGGGCTGTATCTACCCATCGGGAGCTTAAATACATAAAATATAAGTAGTAACGTAATTCGGGGTGTAAGACTATTACAGTGAGTTGAATGATGCAGCAATGGTGAAGTGAGTGGCAGGGAGTACGCTTTGCGCAGTGCGCGTGGCCGTGTGCGTACGCCGCCGTAGGAGAGTACCGCTTGGGTCGCATGGCGTCGGCCGAGCGTAGCCGGCTGCGAGAGGGCGTTGTCGACTTCGCGAGCGCAGCGACTTGGCTGCCTCTGCTCGCCGCTCGACCAGCGACAGCGCCACAGTCGCGGAATGCGATAAGCGAGAGCAGATATTCGCGGGATGATATCCCCCCTCCCTCGCGTGCGATTCATCTGGAGGTTTTTTTCACTTGTGCGGTGATGGTGGGAAATTCAGTGAAGTTTTTTCTCGTTTGGTTGCAATTATTAGTTTGTAAGTTCTTGCGTCTTGGCGTAGACATTTTTTTCGTTCTTAATTTTGTTCTTCGACTTTTTTTATTGTGGACGAATGATATTCTACGATTTTGGAACAAAATGTTTGATGCTCAAAAAAGTAAGTTTAAAAAAATGTTACTGAAATATTCCTTACACTTCTTGTATCTGCAGTTAGTATTTAAACAGAATATGGTAAATTAATTCTCTCGTGTGGTTATATTAATTTTCAAAAGAGTTTATCCCTATTGGAATGTGAGGTATAATTATATACTAGCTATTTCAAACCGAACATTCTAATTATTAACACACTCTAATTGGCACAAGAGCATCATCGATGAAGTTGTCAAGATAGGGCAGAATAAATAAAGTAAAATTAACATTTCAATTGAAAACTCGTAATTTTGGTAAATGAGAATCTGGCATGGGATGTAGTCGGCAACTGGGTTTGGGGGGACGCTGGAAGGCTCATCATCCCAGTTAATAACTGTTGTTCCCGGAAGTACATGGTTCTGCCGGTGACATGACAACTCATTTTTTGGGATATTCGAAAGGTGTTGACTATTAAATGTGTTGGTGTTGAAAATAAAATGATCTATTAATTCACAACACACGCTTCGTCTCTGGTAAATTACTTATTTTATTTTGGTGGTTGACATGAAAATTATTTCATGGAATATGACTACGAAAATATCGCAATGACGACTCCACGACGATATTCCTCTCAGTTATTAACTTTTGTAACTTTGTAATGGGAGTTTGAAAGGCAATGCGTTCGTTATACAAGTACCTCTGTAACATGTCTTAGTGTTTCGTCCATGCATGCATGCATGCATGCATGCATGCATGCATACATACATATTTAAAGTTATCTTATATGAGCAAAACCAATAACAAGATTTTGATGAACGACATGAAAATTCCCTACGCGACTTGTAACTATTTATATTCCAGCCCAACGATTGTAACATTCAACAAAGCCGTTGACAAGGACCGTGATCGTGACTTTCCTCTGTGACCATCGTCTCGGGTTAGTCTCAGAAAAGTAAGGTTACTTTCAAATCCGTCTCGTCGGGTTCGGAAGTCGGTCGTTGATCTGGTTACGCCCGTCACGGCAACCCGTCTGCCTTTCCGTTCGCGCTGCCACTGCCCGCCTCCAGCCTACCCACCGCCACGCCACAGCAAACGACCAGGCCATGTCCACTGCCGTCGCTGTCACTACCAGCACTTCCATCACTCTGCCTCTTTCGCCGCCACCACCACCACCACCACCACCATCGTCACTATTTTCATTACCGGTCTCCTACCACTTGCACCGCATGTGCCTCGCTCGCCACTACGCCACTGCCCTTATCACCTCCGGCATCGCCGCCAGGTCCTGTGTGGATGAATGGCGCGCCGGTGGCCGCAGGGGTGCCCAAGTGAGCACACCTCGCGCGCCGCGGGCTGAGAATTTTGATTCGCGCCCACGGCCCGAGATGGCGCGCGTGAGATCGCATCATGGGCGAGACTTCGTCCGCCGCGCTGCGCCCCTCCGCCGGTCCCCAACCGTTCATTAGCAGCCGCCACCGCTGCCCCTCTCCTCCCCCTCCCCCGGCTCCTCGAGACGGATACCCACCTGCTGGACGAAGCGGGTTCCTCTCGTCGTTTTTTGCCTGCGGGTTGTTTTGCCAGCGATCGTGTAATGTGGCGGCGGTTCGTGGGCCCAGAGGTACGTGACGAACGAAAATATACATGTTGCGATTTCTTCTATTTTTAATTTGTTGGCTTTCGTGTGGCGTTGGTTATCAGGCGATGCGATTTTTTCGTAATGCACTTGTGATCGCGAAGGGAGAAATCGGGGACCTTGTGAGTAAATTAAGTGTGTGTTTTGTACGATTCGAAAGTTCATGGACTATGCAAATGTCTGATTATCAGCTAGTTCGTGTGGATTGACTCGTGTTAATCATTCCAGAAAAATAAAAGCTTCAGGTATTATTTTCGCGTGTTATAAGTTGGCCAGTATTGGGGTTGGGTCGTGTCGTTGAATTTCATAAGCGATTTGGATACGTTTTTTTCTGGTTTCTGAAAATATTACTAAGTTCTAACTAACTACTGGTAATTGAAAGACATGCCTTTTCTTGATTCGAGAAATGAATTAAATAGTACGGAAATTTAATTCTCGAAGTCCAAACTCTAAGACTACCTGAGCGGCGACGCCCTGTTGAGTATAATAGGTACATTCTGTGCTTATGTGCTAATTGATAACTATGGTTGCTGCATTAAATTAATTAATGAATTTTTGAGTTCTTGTCAAATCTCTTCCCGGCGTCTTAAATGCAACATTCCCCTGCAAGGACCCGCTTGCACCTTGCAATGAGCATTTCCAGCCAGCGAGAGAAGGTGACCCCAACGCGAGGAATCGCTTCTGACAAAATTCGCGGATTAATCGTTCTGAACGATTCCGTATGTCCTGATATTCGTTCTGAGAATGTTTTCTGACACATAGACAGTACGTATTCATACGAACGGTTTGCTTGGAACTGTCCATGTTCATAATGAATCATCTCACAGACAGTACGCATGAAAAGTCAATTTGTTACAAATATAATTGAAAATTGATTAATAAGGACTATTTTCACAGTATTACTTTTTTTAATTTCCAACATCTTTTGTTTGCTTATTGGTTTATTCAATTAATCGTTGTATTCACTTACATTTTGAATTCTGAGCAATGACTGTACATGAACATTGGGAGTGAATTGAGGATTGGAGTTCTTGTGAGATGAGATCCATACACATTTATTGATTTCTTAAATCAATACGAGAAACTTCGTGCAGCAGTACATTGTTTGGTAATGCGATGAAAGTTTACCTCTCGATGCTCTATGGTTGGTAAATTAATGGAGTTTCCTCAAAATTACTCCTTCACACACTTATTTAGGCGGTAGTGCAATGAACGTTATGACCCGCCGTGCTTCGTATTGCATTTCGTCGTGCCCGCAGTCGCGAGAGGACGCTCTTGCATTGGCGGGGGGACCTGCCCCCGTGTCGTGCGCGCGCGTCGCGGTGCTGCGGCCGCGGGTCTTGCCGCTCGGTCACGGCTGCGTGCGTGCGTCGCTGGCCGACCCGCCTCGCCTCGCGTACGCCCTTCCCCCTCTCCCCTCGCCATCGCTCGCGACGTGCCGTGTCGCGCCGCTTCTCGCTATAAAGCAAATAGTGGGAGCGATTGACGGCGATTGAACCGATGGTGTCCGATCGTTGCGATCTGTTGAGACCAAGTGGAGCTACGTTCGCCTACAATGGCGAATTCGTACAATGTTATCTATGAATTTATTCGATAGAAAGTTTTTCCGTCTCGACTTCATACACCTTTTTATATTTAATAAAGAAATTTATTTCATTGTCTAAAATTATAAGTTCATGAGACACGTAGGCACTGGGCCCTTGAGGTTGACTTGTTACTTCTGGATAACACTTTCTTCACGTAACTGGACTAATGTGTTGCGCAAATTCATTTTTTTCGTACTTAGATATTACTTGCAGCACAGCGTTGGTTCACTACATTTGTCTGCCCACGTTTCAGCACGTGCGCGAAATGTAAGCTACGCTGCTACCAACCCACAAAATCGCAGGAATTAACTTGTCATTTCTCAAAGGTGGACGTGGTAATTTACGAACCCCTCTTTCCCAGCAATGTGCCTGGTACGGTTAAGTGGGAATTCAGTGACGCCCACGTTCCTCCGATCGGATCAATCGAGCGGCACTGTTTTCCACGGGCTTTCCACCGCCTGACGCGGCGTGGCGTCGCCTCGGGCGGTGCGGCCCCGGCCCGATGGCGGCCTGCGTGACCCCTCCGCCGGCAGCCGCCGCCCATTCACAGTCGCCGCGGCCCCGGGCCCTCTCCACACGTGCNNNACATTTATAAAACATTAATTATAGAATATCTGTAAATAAAATCGGTTAGTATACTGGATTGTGCGGATTGTACCTCGTGCGCGAGTTCGTATCGAGTGGGCGTAGTTGTAGGACGCCCACTGATGTCCACGCGCTCCTCACGCCACAAGGCGCCTTAGCTGTTCTCGGAATCCGCCACGATTTGTTTCTGGACAATCAGCAAGGGAGGGCACAAATATTCTCCAAGGTGGGTCAAACTACAGAACAAATTTCTTTAATTTTGTGAGGACAAAATGTCACCATACTAGTATACCCTGAAGTTCTCGACTGTAAGTTGTTAGGAATACTGATGAACCACTTTGTCCATTGTTCAATCCGTTGTATAGTAACCCATTTTTATTCATATAAAAACACGAGCTTGTTAAATTTTTCTGTTATATATTACAAGTTTATTTAATATTTCATTGTTCTATCATTCATACACAGCCTTAAATTTTATTAAAATATCACCTTCGTTTATTAGCTCTTGTATTTCTTTAAACCCATTCCAGAAATTGATTAGAGAGCGCTAGGAGTTGTTGAGGGCAACTGACTGTTGATAATACAGATATATTTGTATACAAGAAATACTTTTCTAACTCTGTAATGGTTGGGATGGTTGTACAAATATTTCGTATGGTCAGGGGTGTTTCGGGAGTTGATAGGTTATCTATTAAACTGGAATAGAGACGTTAATAAGAACATGTAACATAAATTCTAGTCTCCGTGCGTCCGAGAATCTCTGAGAAGATAACGAGTGTAACGCGGCCGCGCAGCTGTTGCCATCTCGTTGCCAGCGCTGCGTTGTAGAATCTGACCTGGCCGCCACAAGGAGACTGGCGCTGCTCATTCATGGAAGGAGCTGGGCAGGTACGCGCCAAGGGGACTTCCACTTCGTATTCGGCTCCCGAGAATTGCCTTGTTTTTCTGCAATGGTTCAGCGGTATCCTTAATTTTGTGGTAGTTATAATAGGTGGTTGACCGACTAAAAAACTCGGCAATCGTAACTTTTAAATGCTCTCGATGTAGATGACGGCTAAATTTAAAGTTTGAAATTTCGATTAATCTTTGTTCGGTTGTACATTGGGAAGAAAACTAATTTGATGAGTAGTGAACTAATCGTGTGCTGCAGAAAACTGAATTCCCTTGCGATGAGGAATATTGGGTTTTCTTAAATTTTGTATTACGTTTTGGGAATAAACAAATCTAGCCCTGTGAACTTTTTCTGTCCTTTACTGTTAATAAATATTTATTCTCTCTGTTACAAACTGGGCATGTTTCGCATGAACCACTATTTTAATACAGTATTGCATCTAATTTAAACGCAGTTACTCACGCACCTTAAGATGATCGTACTGTCTCAGTCGTTTCATCAGAGCAGGTTTACAGTTTGTTGACCATTATCAACAATTATTATATTAAGGAATGATTTCGATGTTTCGAAAGATTTATATAAATATAATATATTATGATAAATATTATGATAAGAGAAATTTTAGAAATCATCCTACCTCCACTTCTAAAAACTACCTTTTTATTTAATCTGTAAGTGGGAAGGAAGAATGCAAATCTGCGAAAGAAAAGAGGAAGCTTCAAAGAGTGCGGCCTAGACCTGCGGTTCCCCGCTGGCGATGCGCGTGCTTTTTAAAGCGGATTCGCGAAAATATGACGATGGTGAAGTTTTAAATGTCATACGTGAGAGAAACCGACGTATTTTTAAAAAAAAAATTACAAATAAATAATTATAGCTTCTCTAATAATTCATCGGCATCAAAAGATTTGTTTTCCGCTTGTTGGAATGGAAGCATTGTTGTATTGGATTAATGTTTGTAGGTTTATAGTAGATAAATGTTGAATTCGTTTGATTAGAGGTTAAAATCACTTAAGTTGTATTCCTGTTTATCCGTGAATATATTACGGTTGTCTTTTAATATTTCGTATTGAACTACAAGGAAAATAAAACACAATTGTATTGCTTTCGCTGATAATAATGAGTTCGCTACGTGATTTTGTCGTTCGCGGAGTTGGCGCGGGGAAAAGGCTTTGAAACTATAGGCCGAAGCAATTGGAATTCAAGGAATTGACTCGAGGACTTTGCGTCGCGTCGCGTCGCTTCGCCTCGCTTCGCCTCTGGGGCTCGTCCGCTTCCTCCGGCCGCGCCGCGCCGGCTGTGATTTGGCGCGCCGGAAGGGAGATGCGTGTTCTTGGCTCGTATCCTGGCTCGCGGCACGAGAGAGCGGGTAATTTGTTCTCGGAAACGATTGCCCAGCCCTGGACGCAAAACGCGAGGCGAGAGCATTCCGTCGGACGCAGCCGGGCTTCTGGTGGCTTTTGGTGTTGTCTTTTGGAAACGCCTTGTTTTAACGAAGCGTTCTCTCCTGAACTGATTCCTTTCCTCTCCAAATAGTGAAATAATGGTAGTCTTATTTTCAATTACGGTTATACGTAATCCTTACCTATTCCGTTTCCAATCTGCATCTATCACAAACCAGCACGAAAAAAAGAACAGTTGCAGTATATACCAGATCCATGATACTGTAACAAGTAAACTTGTTACAGTATCATGGATCTGGTATACTGCAACTGTTCTTTTTTTTCGTGAATCTTTTATGATGAATTTATTTAAAACTCTCCAAAGCGCACAATGCAGCACAATTATTTCAATAGTTTGAAAAATGATCTATAGGTTTGGAAGTGGATGCTTGGACTTTTATTTTTACGTGCACGGTAATTTTGAGCGAATTCTTGGTATCTCGTATCTGAAGGTAAAAGAAAAAGTCATTATATTTTGGTTCAACAATCAGTATAACGTAAGTGGTGAATTATCCAGGTCATAATTTTCAGTTTTAGATCTTTAGAAGAAATCGGAACAAAATTATTAAGTACGACGTTGGGAATAACACATTCTAACATCACAGCTAAAACGTGAAATGGAAATGATACTGATTAATTATTATGTATTGGTACGTATAGTTCGTAGTGGATCAAAGTGGTCGATTGAAAAACCTTGAGCTATTATATATTTGCTGTTCTGTAAATATGTGGTGCAATGTAAGAAATAAATTGGAGGAATTTAGTTACTCCGGCGATCGCAACATGTTATAAAATAATGTAATAAGAAGTGAATGAACTGAAATAAGTTAATTGAGTTTTACTGTGAACTTGAAGGTGAAATAAAAAAGCAACTAGCAAATTGCATAACTACAGGTGATAACGCATTGTTAAACCGTTCAACTAAACATTTCGTTATATAAAGGTGATTGATACGTTTGTACTTCCGAAGAGGAAAACCATCTTGATCCTGCAATCCTTAAGTATTTGTTCCCCCTTTGAAGTAAGATCCCTCCAGATGTGCGTAAACTGTCGCCATAGAGTCCGCTGTTGGAATCGGCGGGGAGGGACGGCCCTTTGGAGGGGCCCGGCCGCCCGTCGCGGAGGAGATCGACTTGAAAGGGGAGAATTGTGCCTTTGTGGGCGCGGCGGCCGGGGCACTCCGCTCGCCGCAGGGGGCGGGGCGGCGAGCGCGGAGCGACGCAGCGCGGACGAATACTTTGGCAGAATGGAGAGCATTTCATAAAATGAACGTCTGGGCACCGGAAGCGCGCATGTGGTTGCTGGAGATAGATAGAGTCCCATTCAAGTCACACGCAGTGGCGGGAGGCATTTGTAATTTTTTCAGTTTTGGATCGTTTTATTGTATTGTCGCATTATCCAAAAAGCAGTATTAGAACGGATACCAAAAAGGAATACGGCAACGACGTTTCTGGAGCCACGCAGTGATCTCTAACTTACTAAAGAATGCGGACTGATGAACTCGCGCACACCGTCGTATTCGGACACATCACTTACATGATACCAATTTCAATGTTTTCCGAATCAGATGGAAATCGACCGTCTAATCACGTTACCGACGCAATTAAACTATTTCCCGACGGGGCCCCGATCGACTATGCACAGTTGACATTTGGGAAAACTGATTCACAGTGTCTATGGGAGTGCACAGAGACGAACACGTGTTATGGCAATCCTAGTGACTCGGCATGTATGTTTCCATGATCTCTCGCTATCGAGTGCTTACGAGCTTCGTGAGATTCCATTTGATCGAATAACTCTATTGACGAATGCACGTCACGCTAACCCACGTAAGCCTATGACATCGCATTCGCACCGCAAGAATTGCAATTTATTCTACTAGTTCGATACCTTTAAGAACTAAACGACCTACTCATCTCACCGCAAGGCACTCCGGCATCCGAGATGAACGCACTCAAGAATTCAAGTTTCTGTGATCGGTACTTAGTGACGTCAGCGCGCGTATTCCCGCCAATTCATGAAGCCGTAAGAACGGACGGAGCGGGGTTTGGGCTCGAGCGAGGCAGGCGGGCGGAGGGGGAGGCCAGAGGAGGGGACGGCAGACGTGTGTCGGGTGGAGCGGTGGTTGAGCGGGCGGGTTGGTGTGGGCGGGGTTTGGAGCGGGCGGGGCTGGGGGGGAAGCGTGTTGGGGCGGGAGAGGGCGGGGCGGAGCGGGTAGGGCTGAGGAAGCGGCGTGAGCGGGGTGTTTTGGACACCCCGGGCCGACCTCGGCGGCGGTGTCACGTCCGGTGCCCCGCGGCGCAGCGCGGCCCCGGGACGCTCACTGTCTGCCTTTTTTTTTTTTTTTCGTGT